TAAAAAAAAAAAAAAGGAAGAAATACACAGAATTGCTGTACCAAAAGGAAATGTGTTCAACCATTTCAAGAGATAGAATATGTTCAAGAGCCAAGGATACTGAAGGAAGAAGTCCAAGGTGCACTGAAGGAATTGGCAAAGAACAAGACACCAGGGATTGATGGAACACAAACTGAAATCTTTCAATAAAGTGAGGTGGCACTGGAAGCACTCACTCATCTATGCCAAGAAATTTGGAAGACAACTATCTGGCAACTGATTGGAAGAGATTCATATTTGTGCCTATTCTAAAGAGAAGCGACCCAACGGAATGTGAAAATCATTGGACAAAAATCTTTGATATCCCATGTGTGTCAAATTTTACAAAAGGTAATAAAGAAATGGCTGCAAGCATATGTTGACAGAGAACTTCCAGAGGTTCAAGCCAGATTCATAAGAGGATGGGGAATGAGGGATATCATTGCTGACATCAAATGGATCTTGGCTGAAAGCAGAGAATATCAGAAAGATGTTTACCCGTGCTTTATTGACTACGCAAAGGCTTTTGATTGTGTGGATCATGGCAAGCTATGGACAACATTGGGAAATATGAGGATTCTGGAACGTGTAATTTTGCTCATGAGGACCCTGTACATGGACGAAGAGGCAGTTGTTCAAACAGAACATGGGAAAACTGAATGGTTCAAAATTAGGAAAGGTGTACGACAGGGTTATATTATTTCACCATACTTATTCAATCTTTGTGCTGAGCAAATAATCTGAATAGCTCATTATTTAAAGAAAAACGTGGCATAAGGATTGGAGGAAGTCTCATTAAAAGCCTGTGATATGCAGATGATACAACCTTGCTTTCTGAAAGTGAAGAGGACTTAAAATACTTACTGATGAAGATAAAAAATCACAGCCTTCGGTATGGGTTGCATCTCAATGTAAAGAAAACAAATGTCCTCACTACTAGACCAATAAAAATAATCTTATCAATGGAGAAAAGATTGAAGTTGTCAAGGACTTCATTCTTCTTGGATCAACTATCAACACTCATGAAGCAGCAGTCAAGAAATCAAACAACGTATTACATTAGACAAATCTGCTGCACAAGACTTTCTTAAAGTGTTGAAGAGCAAAGATGTCAGCTAGAGGACTAAGGTGTGCCTGACCCAAGTCTTGATATTTTCAATATCATACTTCATATGCATGCAAAAGTTGGACAGTGATAAAGAAAATCATGGAAATTGATGCTTTTGAGTTATGGTGTAGGAGGAGAATATTGAAGGTACCATGGGTTGCCAATAGAACTAACAGATCTGTGTTGGAAGAAATGCAGCCAGAGTTCTCCTTGGAGGCCAGGATGGCCAAACTTCATCTTTCATACTTTGGACATAGTGTCAGGAGGGACCAGTCACTCAAGAAGGATATCATGTTTGATTAATTGGATGGTCGAGAAAAAGAGGTAGACCCCAGCCAGATTGATTGGCAAAGTGGCAGCATGAATCGGTTCAAGTGTAGCAACAATTGTGAAGTTGGCCCATGACTAGGTAGAGTTTCGTTCTGTTGTGAATAGAGTCGCTATGACTCTGTACTGACTCAATGGCACCTAACAACAACAACAGCCGATTCTGACTCAAAGTGACCCTGTACTACAGAGTAAAATTACTCTGTAGGATGTCAGGCTGTAAATCTTCACAGAAACAAACTACCTCATCTTACTATCATGGCTTTATTGGTGGGCTTGAGTCATAGCCTTTAGGTTAGCTTAACCCAGTGTTCCCCAGAGTTTCCTTCCAAAAGCCACTGCCACTGAGTTGATTCCAATAGATAGTGACTCTGTATAGGATGTCTGAGTCTATACATCTTTAAAGGAGCAGATAACTTTATTTTTCTCACTCAGAGCATCTTAAGAGTTTGAACTACTGACATTACAGTTAGCAATCCAACGTTTAATCCATTGAGCCCTCTGGGTTCCTTCATTCCTCTTGCTGCTGTTAAGTGCCATCGAGTTGCTTTTGGCTCTGTATAGGCTTTTAAAATATTTTGCACTAGCAGAAAGCCTCATCTAGCTGGTTATATAAAGAAAAACATGGCATAAGGATTGGAGGAAGTCTCATCTGTCTCCCACGGAGTAGCTGGTGGGCTCGATCCACTAACCTTATCCTTTGGAGCCACCAAGGTTCCTTCATTTTCTTATATCCCTGAAAAACACAATCTATAAAGTACTCAGAAAAACATGTTTAAATAAAAATCAGATAATTTCCCTATTTGTCTAATCTCCTTCAATATATTCTCACTGAGCTTTGAATAAACTCTAGTCTTCTTGAAGTAATTCACCAGATCTTTTAAGAATTATTTCCTGCATGTTTTTTATAATTGTACTCTGCTCTCATTCTCTCTACTTGTGTACCAATAATACTGTGTTTCTTGTATTTTCTTGAAATTACAAATTCTTTCCTGTTTCAGGGCTTTTTCACACAATATTCCCTCTGTCTGCAAAGTTAATACTTCTTATTCTTCTACCTATATTTAAATTCTCACCTGAAACATCTCTTTTACAGACAAGTATTCTCTATCACTCAGCCTAAATTATGCCCTACCTGTGTAAAGCCCCTTACCTCACCCAAATCAAGACAAACTCATTGCAACTTTATAGGGCAGACTCTTAGCAACTTTATAGGGCAGAATTGAACTGCTGCATACTATTTTGTTGATTGAGAAACCTATGAAAACATATTGCCACATTTTTTTCTCCTATACAGCAGCTGGTGAATTGAACTGTCAACCTTTTGTTTCATAGCCAAACACTTTTACCACTGTGCCACCATGGCTTCCACTGCTCTCTTAAACTAGTGTAATATTTTTATTTGATGTAATTTATCATCAATTTCTAAACTTTTCATTAAAGTCCATTTTGTCCCTATTATGCTGGAATGAGCATAGTCATCACATTTCTTGTATTCACCATTATACCCAGAGGTTAGTACAGTGGTTGATGCATTGCAGGCATTTACTAAATATTATGAATGGATGGATAAAAGAATAGCACGAAAGTTAGTGGCAAACCTGACATACAGAAAGTATTTGCTTTTTCTTGACTCTGTCACACTATATATTTTATTGAAGAAAATTTCAAAAATGTGGAGCTGAGCAGTTGGTGGATGAAATTACTATAAATGAATTGGCATCTAGGTTTTTTTTCCCACCTTATAATTATGAACTTTAGATGTTACTAGAAATAATTTTAGCTCCTCTTCATTTTTATAAATATGACCCTTGTGTGAGTTTCATATACTTACTAGAAGTAATATTTAAGTCTCCCCTATTTTATCCTCTAAAGGGAGCAAAGGAAAGTCTTGGTAAGGAGTTGGAAGAGAGGGAGTGACTCACAAGGCCCGTTGACTATGATGCCACCTGAAAGAGTCTTGACCTTGGATTGGCTGAAGATATAGGAGCAGAACTCTTCAACTTGTTCTACAAACTCCTGGCTCAGTTCTTTCTCCTGTAGCTGCTCCAGGCGAATAAGGTGCTTTCTTGGAGCGGGTCGGTCAAAGATGAAGCACTTCTTCTGGGGGAAGAACTTCCGGATGCACAATCGAGGTTCATTAAAGCTTTTAGCTTTTTGGTCAGTACCTAGGGGAATAAAAATTGGAGGTAGTTCACCCTCAGATTAATTACCACAAACAAATTTTTCCTCAACATAATTTTCATTATAATTAAATATCATTTCACTATATCTCCTGTATAAGGAGATAACAATTAGCTAATTATGGAGCAGCAATTAAAAAAATAAATGTGGTAAACAACAAACTTTTTCTCTAAGAAATTAGACCCAACCAACTAAAGCAAGTAGTGTTTTCCCATCCTTTAGTGCTACTTCCAAGAAGCACTGGTAGCATAGTGGTTATGAGTTGGGCTGCTAGCCTGACAGTCAGCAGTTCGAAACTACCAGCAATTCTGGGAGAAAGATGAGGCTTTCTGCTCCTTTAAAGATTTACAGCCTTGGAAACCCTATGTAGGGCCACTATGAGTTTGAACGGACTCCATGGCACCCCACCACCGCAGTACTACTTCCCGAGAAATATGTATAAGATATCATAATTTTTAGCACCTTCACAGAAATGGTTATTTTTGATACTATTATCTCTCTATTTGGTACCCAGCAACTAGTCCCAGACACCTTGTTTTAGCTTCAGTGAAATCTCCAAGTACTCATCAGGAGTGATAGGTTTTCCATTTGCTTCTAGTGTCAGGGAGAAATCTCTCAGTGTCCACACGAAGTCTGGAAAGAATCTCACAAAGTCAGTTGAGTCACAACCCTCACTATTAGCAGGTGAGGATTTTGACCGTATTCGATCTGTTAGCTCAGTCACATAACTGAAATGTTAATTTAGGAAAAGCACTGAAAAAATAGCATTTTTATGCTACATTTTTTTCCAATGCTTATCTGAAACAATTTGCTTTTCCTTCATTATATTATTCACTCATTCCACAGACATATTTTGAGAATGTTTATGAACAAAGCACTGTCCTAATGGCTAACAGTATTTCAATGCATAAGGCAATGCATTTAAATAGTTTATCCTCTATTTCCGAAATACAGACAATAAATATGCAACCAAAATATATTAAAATATCAGATAGTACTAGGAGTTAGGTGCCAGTGAGTCGGTACTTACAACGACCCTATGCACAATCGAATGAAACACTGCCTGGTACTGGGCCAACCTCAAAATCGTTGCTAGGTCTGAGCCCATCACTGACGCGCCAGTGTTAATCCATCTCATTGGGGTCTTTCTCTTTTTCTCCAGCCCTCCATTTTACCAAACATAATGTCCTTCTTCAAGGATTGGTCGGTCCCTCATGACAATATGTCTGAAGTATGAGAGATGAAGTCTGGGCAACTTGACTTCCAAAGAGCACCCTGGCTGTACTTCTTCCAACACAAATCTGTTTATTCTTTTGGTACTCTATGGTACTTTTAATAATCTCCTACAACACCTTAACTAAAATTAATCAGTTTTTTAACAATCTTCCTTATTCACTGTCAAACTTTCATATGCATATGATGTTATTGAAAATATCATGGCTTGCATCAGGCACTCCTTAGTCCTCAAACTGACATATTTGCTCTTGTAAACTTTAAAGAGGTCTTGTGCAGCAGATTTGTGTAATGCGATATGTTGATTGATTTCTTGACTTCTGTTTCCATGTGTATGGATGGTTGATCCAAGAAAAATAAAGCTTTTGACAACTTCAGTCTTTACTCCATTTTTATAGATGTTGTTTATTGGTCTCATGGTGAGGAATTTTGTTTTATTTACATTGAGATACAACCCATACCAAAGGCTGTGGTCTTTGATCTTCATTAGTATCATAAGTCCTCTTCACTTTTAGCAAGCAAGGTTGTATCTTCGCAGGTTGTTAGCAAGTCTTCCTCCAGTTGATGCCACATTTTTCTTCATGTAGCCCAGCTATTCAGATTATTTGCTTAGCATAAAGATTGAATGCATATGGTGAAAGAATACAACCCTGTCACACACCTTTCTTAATTTTAAACCATTTGGTGTTCTGTTTGATCAAGTGTCTCATGGTGTATGTGCAAGTCCCTCATGAGCACAGTTAAGTGTTCCAGAATACTCATACTTTGCAGTGTTGTCCATTGCTTGTCATGATCCACACAATCGAAAGTCTTTGCATAGTCAAAAAAGCACAGGTAAACATCTTTCTGGTATTCTCTGCTGTCAGCCAAGATCCATCTGATGTCAGCAATGAAATCTCTCATTCTACTTCCTCTTCTGTATCCTGCTTGAACCTCTGGAAATTCTCTGTCATTGTATGATTGTAGTAGCTTTTGTATTATCTTTAGTAAAACTTTACTAGAATGGGATATCAATGAAATTGTCCTATGATTTCCACATTCTGTCGGGTCACCTCTCTTTGGAATGGGCATAAATACAGATTTATTCCAGTCAGTTGTCCAGATACCTGTCTCCAAATCTCTAGGGCACACAGTGGTGAGTGCCTCCATTGCTGCATCAGTTTGCTGAAATATTTCAATCTATATTTCATCAATTCCCAGAGCCTTGTTCATTGCCAATTCCTTCAGTGCACATTGGACTTCTTCCTTCAGGGTCATTGGCTATTGATCAAATGGTTGAACATCAACCACTCCTTTTTAGTACAGTGACTCTGTGTAATTCCTTCCATCTTCTTTTTATGCTTTCTGCATTATTCACTAATTTGCAAAGAGAATCTTTCAATACCACAAGTTGAGGGTTCAATTTTTAATTTTAGTTCCCTCAAACTGAGAAATGCTGAACGTGTTCTTGCCAGAAGGGCAGAACAAATATCAGATAGTGATAACTATTGTCTTGAAGAAAAATGGGGAGAGCGTAACTGTGTGCATCATCCTGTGGTGTTGGTTTATATAATTGTTCAGATAGTACTTTCTGAATTGATATTTATAAGAAATCTGAATGAAAGGAGTAAATCATCCACACAGGAATCTTTTGGAAGAGCATTTCAGGCAGTCTTTATATAGGCAATAAGTGAGTGTGTCCAATCTATAGCAAGAACACCAGTAATGATATGACACAATCCAAGAAAAAATAGAAGCCAGACCCTATAAGCATTAGCAGCCATAATAAGGAAAGGAGTCTGAATTTTATACAAATTTAAAGGAAGCTGTTTAGGGAAGGTGATAGTTAAGGATTTGTGTGAACTTGACTGGACCAGGATTCTCAGTGATTTGATAATTGAAATGTAGTCATCTCCAGTGATGAGATCTAATATTATATAATTATCTCTAATGGTGAGATCTTCTATGAACAAGCAATCAATTGAAAGGAAGTTTCTTTCCTCTATGATGTCGTCTACTTTCAGTATATTGGAACTCAATCAAAGCTTGTTGCTTTTTTGCTGGGCATGGATCCTGCATCTGGTTTGTCATCTGACCCTTGGTTCTTTAGACTTGAATCAATGGCTCAAGTTGCCTTCTCTATTGTCTTCTTATCTTGGAAGTCATCATCAGCTTGCTATCTTACCTGGCTGACCTGCCTGTTCACCATCTGACCTGCCTATCTTGGTTCATCAGCTCTGCAGCTATGTGAGTGAGAATTCTCCAGCCTGACATCTGGCCAAAGCACTTGGGATTTTCCCTGTGGCACTGTGGGTTAATGACCCGTACTGCAAAGTCATTTGAACTATAAGGTTGGTGGTTCAAGTTCACCAGCTGTTCCTCAGAAACCATATGCTGGGTCACTATGGTTTGTAACAAAGTCAAAGGCACTTAACGACAACAACTATGTGAATCATATCCTTGGTATAAACTTCCCTTTATATATAGATACTAAGATTCACTGGTTTTGCTTCTTTATAGAACCTAACTTGATACATTTGGGTAAGTAAAAGGGCATATGGTCTCATATTTGCTTTTGAAAGGTTATTATGACTGGTGTGACTTGTGTAGGTATCAACAATATAAACAGGGAAAGCAATTAGGCAGTTCAGGAGGCAACTCAGAAGAAAGGTAATGGAGGGCTTATACTAGCGTTATGATCAAGGAGTTGTGAGAATCAGTTTGGGGAAACGTTTTTGAAAGTGCTGATGACAGGATTTAATGATTACTAGTTCTTAGGGTTTAAGGAGCTCTGGTGGATCTGTAAAATAAGCACTGGACTGCTATCTGCAAGGTCAGCAATTCAAACTCATGAGCTGCTCTACAAAAGAAAGCTGCAGCTCTCTGTCCTGTAAAGACTGAAGTATCAGAAACCCTATGCATGGTTGCTATGAAATGGAATCAACTTGATGGCATAGAGTTTGAGGGTATAAGTGAAGGAATCATCCAGAATGATTCCCACAGTCTAATTATCACTAGCATGATGATATGAACATTTACTGTGGTAAGGAAAACTGGATAAGAGTAGGTATATATATACAAGCAGACTAAGAAATTTGATTTGTATTTGTTTAGTTTGAGATGGGTCTTATGCATGTATATAATAGCTACATATATATCTACACATGTAATATCTACATATATAATATCTACATATATATCTTCACATATGTAATATCAACATATATAATATATCTACATATATATAATGTTGTTGTTGT